GATCGGATGGACTCGGTGCACGGGCACGCACTCGGGGGTTTGACTCGGACTCGGTGCACGGGCACGCACTCGACGATTCGGCTCCAACGGTCGGACGAGAGACGATCACGGGCACGAGACGATGATACACATTACGAATTACGATACGACAACTAGTAATTATTCTGACGGTACTAGGGTTCGGTCACTTATATCCGGATCTAGAAAAATACTCGATTATCCGAACCGAATAACTAGGGTTTCTGATTCTCAAAAATCCTAACTCGCTTAAGGCCGATAATTATAATATATATTCTATGTGATTTATATCCATTTTATAATCAACTACTGCAGCTAAAATCATGACCAGCTAATATTATAAAATATCGCGAAATGAGGCTAATGTCTCAATTTTTAATTGATATCAAATGGTGTCCGAATATTACGAAATTCGAAACACACCATTTTCAACACCTACATGGTCCATGGTCAAAATATCGAGTCAAAATTCAGCTCCTAACCCATTCAGCTCTCAATCGCTTCAACCGGTCAATTTCTTTAAAAATCGCGTTCGTCTATCAAACGAACTCTAAATATTCTCAAATTTGAACCTAAGCCTCAAGACAACCCAACAAATTTTATAAAATTTAATTTATTATTTTATCGCACTTATGTAACAAGTCCGAGAAATTCGTTTCAAGCTCGTAATTATCCCAAAATTTCAAATCGCTTAAATCACCCAATTCATATATTTTATTTTTACTCATTAATCTTAACTAAGCCATTGGAGTCATGTTCTAGCCATTTTACCTCAAATCGGCTCGAATTGGAGAAATCAAAAATAAATCGAGCCACATAAAAATGGATCGACCAACGGAATAAGTCGGGGCTGCTCGGATTCAAGCTGAACCTGCCCGGACTGAGGTATGCTAGCTCGAATCTAGTCCTGGGAATGGCTCGGTTCTATGTTGATGCGACTCGAGAAGCACAAAGGGCTGCAACGGGACATTGTACAGATGCCGGGTGGTGCAGCAGGCTCGAGGTAGAGCTGTGGTGGCGGGTTATGAGCTAATCGGGTCGGGTTTGGAGCAGTGGGACCGAGTTTTGTGTTGTGGACCACAGAGACAGCTCGCTTTTGGTGCAGACCCGGACAAGAAGGCCAGAAATCGAGCTCGCCGGCGCGAATATGGGGTGCTAGGCTACTGAACGGGTCGTACCCGAGGTGTTGGGCGTGGCCCGCTGCAGATCCGGCTAGAATCGAGCTGAGAGTCCTTGGTCGCGGATGTGGTCGGTCAAGTCGCCGAAACTTGGCTGAAATGATGTGGGACGGGGCAGCGACGGCTCAAGGTCGAATGTTGCAGGTTCCCGGCGTGAAGAGGAGTTGCTCGTCAGAGATAGTGTGAGCTTGATGGGCTGAGCTGAGGGATTTCGTCGGAGCTAGGAGAGGACGACAGCTCAGCAGCTAGGGTCACGGTGGCTCGCTGAGGTTGCACCGCTCAAGCTTGAATTCCGGAGCAGACGGTCGCGACGGGACGAGCTCGGCCGTGGAGGGATGCGAACCGGCTCGGAGACGAGGAGCTAGGGTGGAACCGGCGCAGTTGAGCTTGGTCGTGACTTGGTTTGACGTGGGCTCGCCGGTGGCTCAAGACCTCGCCGGATTTTGGTCGAATTTAGCTTGGTTGAAGGTGGAAGGCAATGGATCTTGAAGATGGTGGAATGTGGCTAGGGTTTGAGATGTAGGTGTTGAATATGGATAAGTGTAGTATTTATAGGATAGTGGAAGACTAGGGTTTTAGTCTTCTTGGGCTCAAAACTGGGTTTAGGATTCAATATAATCGGGCTTGAGGAATCCCAACTTAGGCTCGAATTTAAATCGAATATGGACTAGGATTTAAATCCTTGGTTTTATTAAATTCGAACTTTGACTAATTAAATATTGGATCAAATACTAACAATGGGCTCAGATTTAAAATCGACTATATGCGCGATTTTAAAATGGACTAGAATAAAATTGGACTTGGGCTCGATTTAACTTAAATGGGCCGGCTAGAATAATTGGGTCCGCTCAAAATTCATTGGGCTCGAATAATTAAATCATTCGACTTGGGATAGATAAATTCGACTCTAATAATTAATATCGAATGAATTTTCTATGGCTTAGACTTTAATACTAATTATTTAATTTAATGCAAATAAATATAAATAATGCATCAAATTTAGAAACTTAATATTTATGGAAATATAGTCAAGCTCCATAAATAGTAAATAAAAATCTGGGCGTTACACAACAACTAAGATCTTCGGTAATGAATGGTTTTCAAATGAACTTTTCGATGTATGACTCAAGTCTCAAGGCTACGATGATCACGCGTGAGATGCAACACAAAAACTTCAGTGTCTAAATTGGTGAATTCAACAAAATTAAAAAAAAAATGAATCTCGGTTGAAATTCTTCCTCAAGAAAATCCTCTATTTTCTTGTCATGGCTCCAGATTCTCTCTCAGTAACATATAATTGGTTTTCAACATCCATTTAAATTTTATACAAAACCCCGAACCACAACAATTGATCAGAATATCAACCTCTGTGTAATCCAGCCATATCATGTACTGCCTAGTTTATCGAGCAACTCCCAACAACTCATTAATGAATGGCGTGAAGTTGTGTGTCTATATTTTTCTTATATATATTCTCTTAATCCTTTGTAGAATTATACATGTATATTAGGAAAAGTTCAAATTATGGAGCGATCGATTTCAAATAAATTTAACGTATCAGGTGGATTCAAAAGAAGCCAAAATTATGAATTATTTTATCTTTTGAATTTTCCTATCGGGATTGAGATCTAGTTTATCTTTTTCATTCATACGTTATCTTTTTCATTCATACGTTTCTCTACAGCACTTTGTCATGTTTCACTGTTATGTATTGATTCAGTGTATTAGCAAGGTTGCAAATCGAAAAAATACAATACGAATAAAAGTTTTTATATCAGTTGTAAAATTCCTGATATAAATAAAATCCCATCAGCACAGTAAACTGAACTAACACAAGGCATAATATACGTAAAACATCATATCATTTATTCATAGAAGATAAAACACCCAACTTTGCTCATCATAACAAGATACATATAAGTGCATCAAAATACCATACAAAAGCAGCAGTTACCCCCAAATCAATCTTAACGGTACAATAGTACTCGAGCGCATATCCAGTTTAATTTTACTGCTCATACGTTTAATTTCCATTTGCACACGTGAAGGCGTTGCAAACGGGAAGGTCGGAGATTTTGATTGTGGCACAAAGACCCGGATTGTTCAGAAAACTTCTGTTAAACGCCGCGTTATCAAACTTGTCGGGAACTTTTCCGGTGAGAAGATTTGAAGAAAGGTTTAGGAAAGTGAGCGTCAAGTTTCCTAACTGAGGTGGGATCTCACCCCAAAGTTGGTTATTCGACAAATCCAAACTTTTAAGTGCATGTAAAGAACCAAACTCAGGCGAAATCGAACCCGATAAATTATTCGAGGAAAGATTCAAATCCGTAAGCATGTTTAGGCTCGCCACTTCGGCCGGGATTGTGCCCGACAGCTTATTGTTGGCTGCCTTGAACATACCCAAACTCGTCCACGACGAAACATTAGTCGGAATTTCACCGGTAAACTTGTTATCACTTACATCGATATAAAACATCTTCGGCCCAACTTTACTCTGGGAGCTCGCCCAATAATCGATTCTTACCCACCGCCACACAAAGCATCTCTGGCAATTCCCAAACGCCAGACGGAACTTCTCCCTTGAAGTTGTTATCGAACACCTGCAAGGTGGCAAGAGTTTGGCATTTTCCTAGTTGTTTCGGAATTTCGCCGCTCAGTTTGTTTTCAAAAGCAAACACATACATGAAAGCTTACGGTAGCACAAATTTTCCGGCAGTTTTCCAGTGAAATGATTAGTACTAACATCGAAGACTAAGAGGTCCGAGTGTTTTCCCATTTCAACGGGTAGTTCTCCACTTAGATTATTCGTGAAAATTTGAAGATTTTTAAGGTTGGGAAGTCGGGCTATGCTCGGCGACAATTTGCCCGATAGTTTGTTGACAAAAAGATACAAAAACTCCAACTTTTTGAGTTTCCCAAAATCTTCCGGGATCGGACCACTCAAGTAGTTCGAACATTTTTTGTTCCTTTGAGAAAAAAAAATGTCATTAATAGTTTGTAATGTATGTTCATATATAAAGTGTAGTTGTATATATAGTGTTGAGAATTCCGACCACACCGAAACTCTGCCCAAGATCCGCTGGAAATAATAAAACTAGAGAACACAAAGTTTAACGTGGAAAACCCTCTGTTAACGAAGAGGGAAAAACCACCAGGGCAACAAGGCCGTAGAAAATCCACTATGTAAAAATTACACAATTTTTCTACACTCACTTATACCCAAAATTACCCCACAGAATTTTCTATCCGTTAACCTTAACTCTCACCCTAAGGGATTTTTAACCAGAGATTAATTGTTAACACAATAACTCTGTGGGATGATTTTACATAAGAAGTAGCACCTTCTTATATAGGGGAAAAATTCCCTCCTCTCTCATCCCACTTTCGATGTGGGACAAAAGAGCAAAACCCAACAAACTCCACCTTGCGATTTTGGCCCATCTGACAGCCACTATTCACTTTGATGAATTTTTTCATAGCTTTCGCTATCATGCTCCACCATAAAAACATATCCACTCGGACTCGCATCCAAGCATTTCTTCGGCCCATGTCGAAATAACCTTGCTGAAATCTATGGTGCAACTTCCACGTTTGGCATTCCTAGAAGTTCATCAGCCCTCGACACGCTTTTTCCACCACACACCATGCATCACCGCCAAACCAATGCCCGTGTGTAAACTGTGGACCCGCTAATTGTAACAAGTCCTCTTTCATGACACTTAGCGACATGCCATAAGGACTCCCCTTTCTCTCTTATCAAAACTCATCCATGGAGAGAGAGAGAGAGATACAAAATTAGCTTCTTCGGTATCTCCACTTACCGACTTCGAGCTTTTTGCCGAACCTGCTCCTCCTTTCGGACAATTTCTTTTCACGTGCCCAGATTGTCCACACGTCCAGCAAATCACAACTTGCTTCTTCCTGGAGTTCCTCTTCTTTCCGTCACCGACGAGCATGACTTGACCTTCCGGTGAATTGTTTCGTCCACCGTCTAGCCTTCTCTCTTCCGCAAGACGTTTACCAGTGACTTCAGAAAATATAATTTTCTCCTTCTCATGAATCAAGATCGGCTTCATGTGTTCATAAGAAGTTGGAAGAGACCAGATGAGTCTCAACGCCTGATCCTCATCATCAATCTTCACTCCAATGGATTCTAGCTCCGAGACGATCCCATTGAGAACGCTTAAGTGGTCTGAGATGCTTTGACCTTCAGTCATTCGCAGTGTGTGAAACTGCTCCTTCAGATACACCCGATTTGAGACACCTTTAGCCTGATACAACTCCTCAAGCTTGTCCCATAATGCTTTTGCCGTCGAAATTCCATGCACATTAGCAAGAACATTCTTGGCCAGACACATTCGTATCGCGCTTGCCGCTCTCAAATCCAGTTCCTCCCAATCGCTCATTCCAGATTTGCTCACACCAGCTTTTTCTTCAGTGCTGCTGGTAGCACTGCCTTTGGGAATTTCCGAGCCCTTCAAAGCTTTGTGTAACCCCGACTGAATCAGCACGTCCTTCACTTGCACTTGCCACAAGCCAAAGTTGATTTTTCCGTCGAATTTCTCCACATCAAATCTCGCCAGATTCGATATCTTATTTCCAGACATCTTCGTGAATTAGTGAACACTAACTTCGCAGAAAACCGAGCAGCAACCTTGAATAGTACTGATCAGATAAATTCTCAGGGAGGGTAGCGACCTGCCCCCTAAAGAATTACCCTTCTAAGTAAGCTCCCAGGAAAGGCTGGTGGGGTCACAACGGTCCCACTTAAAAAAACCAGTCTCCTAGACAGAACCTACTTACACAGTAATTATTCCCCCTGCCCAAAAAACTCCTCTGCACACAAGCTCCACCCGTCACTGGCTCCACCGCACGAAGAGACCTCTTTGGTATCTTTTCTGATGTGGAAGATCAGACAAAACTGCAACCACAGAGCATACTCAGAATACCAACTAGGCTAACCTCGCTCTTGATACCACTTGTTGAGAATTCCGACCACACCGAAACTCCGCCCAAGATCCGCTGGAAATAATAAAACAAGAGAACACAAAGTTTAACGTGGAAAACCCTCTGTTAACGAAGAGGGAAAAACCACCAGGGCAACAAGGCCGTAGAAAATCCACTATGTAAAAATTACACAATTTTTCTACACTCACTTATACCCAAAATTACCCCACAGAATTTTCTATCCGTTAACCTTAACTCTAACCCTAAGGGATTTTTAACCAGAGATTAATTGTTAACACAATAACTTTGTGGGATGATTTTACATAAGAAGTAGTACCTTCTTATATAGGGAAAAAATTCCCTCCTCTCTCATCCCACTTTCGATGTGGGACAAAAGAGCAAAACCCAACATATAGAGGGGTAAATACTTAATAGCCGTTGAAAACAATCGTTAACTAGTCGTTCTAATTTTTTATATATTTTTTATTTTTGATATATTGTTATAATTATTATTATTATTATTATTATTATTATTATTATTATTATTATTATTATTATTATTATTATTATTATTATTATTATTATTATTATTATAGCCCGTTTAATCTGAGGCCCGCTAGGATTAGGGTTAGGACCCTTTATTAGTAGCACATTTAAATCCAGCTTTTTAGACCCGGACTGTTTAGCCCGAAGCCTGCTAGGGCTAGCCCGTTTAACATCTCTAGTTTTGGTTTTCAAAATGTTTTATATTTATTTTATTCATACAGTTTTTAAGTTTTTAGGTCTTAGATGTTCTTATTACGGCTATGTTTGGTAAAACTAGCTGATAAGCAAGTTATAGCTTATCAGTAATTTTTTAACTTATAGCTTATGACTTATAGCTGATAAGTTAGCTTATATGATAAAAATGTTTGGTAAAATTAGCTGATAAGCTAGCTGGAATAAAAAAATCCAACTAGCTTATTTGAGAAGCTACCTAAGGAAGCTTATCAAATAACCTTTAAAAAGTTCGTCCTACCAAACGAGGTTTATTTAAATACAGGGAGTTTATAATAAGCTAACCAAATAAGCTATAAGTCTAGCTTATTTGTCTACCTAATATAGCTTAGAACTAACAAGTGAAAATTGTGAATTGATTTTAATCAAAATGTTTACTAGGTAGAACCCAAAAAAGTCAAAATATAATTGATTATCATCACGAAAATCTACATGATATAATTTATTTGAACCTTTTATGATTGTAAAATTGTCGTTAGTGAGTGGTTCAAAATGAATTTTCGATGTATCCAATTCTCAAGACGACGGTCGTCACGTGAGATGCAACACAAAAGCTTCAGAGTATGTACAATGGTGCATCGTGAAAAAATATTGTGTATCAACCATTGTATAATTTAATCATGTTATGTTTTATCATGTTACGCAGCAAAATATCAACCATTGTATAATTCAATCATATAATGTTCTACCAAGTTATCGAGCAACACCTAACAACTCTTAATGAATGACGGAAAATTGTTTATCTATTATTTTCTCAAATAATCTTTTGGATGTAGGATTTAATTTTTCACATAATATTGTTCTTTGATTTGATTTGATTTGATATTTTTTTTTTTTTACAACAAATAACTCACCATGCAATCTAATAGAATGAAAGTTTATTGAGAATGTCGTTGTGAAAAGTAAATTTCAAAGAAGAATAATATAGTACCGCAATACTATAAGTTTCAATATTACAACATAAAAATTAAGTGGAAGCAATGTTCACTATAGTTGGTATTCAAGATAGTATTACTCCAAAAATTATTTATTGAAATAACTCTTTGATTTATTCATGTAAATATTATTTTATTTTTAATCTTGAAAAATTATGTGTGGTTAGTGAATATAAAAAAGATGGCTTAAGGAAAATGAAGAAAGCGAAACAAAATCAAACTAGAGGCACGTAATAATTACGTTCTCCTTAAAACGAAATTGTCCTGTAAAATACCCACGGTTATCGGCAAACGCCTCCAAGATACAAAAATTTTCGACTTGTATATAGCGGTACTTCAAATATACAAGACTTCGGCGAACACTACTATTGTCTGGAACTCTCAAAACTCAATTAAAAAGATCAAAGAACACAATATGCTATATGAATGATCTTTGAAAAGTAATGCAAGAGCTCTCTAATTTTTCAAGTTCTGAATGATTTCATGTATGTGGGTATTTATAGGTGTAGGAAAACACCTCCAAGAGGTTTAAGTGTCAAAAGACACCTTTTGGGAGATACCCGAACAAGAACGGACGCATCTGGAGGCCAAAAGACACCATATAGTCATCTTATATCCACTCATGCGCGCCCATGCACCGCGGCCTTTTGGTTGCGGAGTCGGGGTTGTCGTCGGGGTGCGGGGATGGGTCTTTGGGCAACAGTTTCAGTTCGGCGGGTTCAGCAGTTTCTCAAGAAAATCCTCTATTTTCTTGTCATGGCTCCAGATTCTCTCTCAGTAACATATAATTGGTTTTCAACATCCATTTAAATTTTATACAAAACCCCGAACCACAACAATTGATCAGAATATCAACCTCCGTGTAATCAAGCCATATCATGTGCTGCCTAGTTTATCGAGCAACTCCCAACAACTCATTAATGAATGGCGTGACGTTGTGTGTCTATATTTTTATTATATTTATTCTCTTAATCCTTCGTAGAATTATACATGTATATTAGGAAAAGTTCAAATTATGGAGCGATCGATTTCAAATAAATTTAACGTATCAGGTGGATTCAAAAGAAGCCAAAATTATGAATTATTTTATCTTTTGAATTTTCCTATCGGGATTGAGATCTCGTTTATCTTTTTCATTCATACTTTATCTTTTTCATTCATACGTTTCTCTACAGCACTTTGTCATGTTTCACTGTTATGTATTGATTCAGTGTATTAGCAAGGTTGCAAATGGAAAAAAATACAATACGAATAAGAGTTTTTATATCAGTTGTAAAATTCCCGATATAAATAAAATCCCATCAGCACAGTAAACTGAACTAACACAGGGCATAATATACGTAAAACATCATATCATTTATTCATAGAAGATAAAACACCCAACTTTGCTCATCATAACAAGATACATATAAGTGCATCAAAATACCATACAAAAGCAGCAGTTACTCCCAAATCAATCTTAACGGTACAATAGTACTCGAGCGCATATCCAGTTTAATTTTACTGCTCATACGTTTAATTTCCATTTGCACACGTGAAGGCGTTGCAAACGGGAAGGTTGGAGATTTTGATTGTGGCACAAAGACCCGGATTGTTCAGAAAACTTCTGTTAAATGCCGCATTATCAAACTTGTCGGGAACTTTTCCGGTGAGAAGATTTGAAGAAAGGTTTAGGAAAGTGAGCGTCAAGTTTCCTAACTGAGGTGGGATCTCACCCGAAAGTTGGTT